CTAACCCAATGCAATGTGATCTCACATACCTCGTAGAGATCACCCCTTGACGAAATCCACAAGCAATTCTTCAAGAACTTGGCGATTCCTTGCTTCTTCTTCTCTTTTCTCCTCTTCTTTTTCTCTTCTCTCAAAACCCTAACTTATTTTCAATAGCGTAAACTGAATCCAATCAGTTTAGACCCAAACTTAATTACCAAAAATAAATTTAATTAATTGGGTAGTGAAAAGACCATAATGCCATTCTAAAATTCGGTTTTGAGTTTCCTTATCTAGACAACCCAACTTCAAATGGGCATATCTCCCTCATACGAACTCGAAATTGATCAAACTCGGTGACGTTGTAAAGATAATTTAAAGATATTTTCTAAGTTATCTTGTAGAACACCTAAATCATCCTGAGCTAGGAGTTATGGTCGTTAGAAGTTAATCCAAAATGCATACTTAGCTTAACTTTGTCAAACTTTCCAAATTTGATTATTCACAAAAATGGTTTATTTCTAATTCTAAGTCTTTATAGTAGCGGGGTGTTACAGATACCATGTTTGTCACTCCCTGAGCCTACACCCCGGGCGGGACTGGCACTCAAGAACCATTGATGGCCCCAAGCGAACCCTTGGCCTAGCTTACTACTCAGCAGAAGACTTTACTCAACATTTAAGATGACTAAAAAGATAACTTTATGAATCAAACTTAGAATGTATAAAAGAGAACATTCAACTGGCCATAAAGGCAACTTAAGTCTTATAATCAAAATAACTGAAATGAATAAGACTAATGAACTACTAATGTCTAACTGTCTATGAAGCCTCTAATACTTATGAGGGATGTCAGGATAAGACCCTCGATCATCCTAACAACTGAAATAAACAAAGCAATGAAAAGGGATCCTCCGGAAAGTAGGGAGATTCACCAAATGACTCTGAAATTCTCAACTGGATCAACGAAGCGTTGGATGCTGATCCTGGTACCTGTATCTACATCATAAAGATGCAGGCCAAATGACATCAGTACATTGAATGTACAAGCATGCGAGGGGAAAACTAAACATGACATAAGCTTGAACTGAAATCTGAAAGAAACACTTACCTCAGCCTTACTCAACTCATGGATACTCAAATCAATGCAGAAATAAACAACAGTAAAGATGCAGTTTATATAAAGCATTTAAAATAGTAGATAACATCTCAAAGTATTGAAAATACCATAATATTTCAGTTATATATAAGAATATAAAAATAAACATTGTTTGGGAGATTCTCTAACCGACAACCATCACTATGAGCTATGTGATGATACAACGTCTCGCCCACGCTGCCAGAACTGTCCTATAACTTGCCAAGATATAGAACGCCTCAACTAAGTGGATCCACTAGTCTATGCTAAAAGGCATTAAGGAATCATCTAAAAAGTATGACCCTTTCTACCCACATTGGCTACATGGTTTATGGAGGCTTAAGTTATTATGAACTCGTCCCATATCGGTGCTCAATACTACTCCCAAAATATAATCAGCTCATATGTTTAAAAACATGACTCTTTCTATGGTTTGAGATAATTACTCAAAAACTAGCTATGATGTTATGATAAACATAATTTAATGTCTTCTATGTTTATTATTATTATTATTATTATTATTATTATTATTATTATTAATAATAATAATATTTATTTGTTTATTTTTACAGATTTGCAACCTTAGCACAAGATAAATGAGGAAGTGTCATAGCAAAAATTTAAAATTATAATCTCTATCACTATTATAAACATAGAAGGCATTAAGTTATGTTTTAATAATATTACTTTTAAAGAATAATCAAATTTCAAAATTGGAAAATAATTTATGAGAAATAAAATTTAAACTTTTGACATTAAGATAAATAATATTTATCTATATCTAGCTAGCTTAAATTCTATCTTGAACAATATCACTATTATAAGTCATTTAACAAATTTAAGACTATTCACAATATTATATAACAACATTAAATTAAGTTGAAAATTGCGATTTTAAAATATACGATAATTTTTTAATTTTCAATTTTTAACTTTTTACATTTTAATTCAAACATAACTATAATTACACATAATATGCTTTATTGGATAAAATTCAAATAAACAGCATCTCCTTCATATCCATATGTTTTCTTATTCAAATTAACATTTAATATATCCTCTACATACATTAATTAAATCTAATATAGCAGGCGTACTAATTAAGATTATATTTACCTTTATATCTATTTTCTATCATATTTTACACAAATTAATACAATAAATAATATTTTGAATATTTTAATATTGAATAAAACATATATAAAATGTTTCAACGTGTTATTTAGTCTTATGATATCAAATATTTCATATGGAAATATTATTATTATAAATTAAATATATTATTAAGTGCATTCTACAATTTATTAATTATTTTTAATTATAAAAATATTACATTTAAAATCATCCGCGCAACGCGCGGGTACGTATACTAGTTTTAGTAATGCGAACAGTTAATATGGAACGATGGAGTAACTGGTATAATATATCTTTTTATCCCATATGGTATATATTAGGGGTGTAAAATGGGCGGGCTGAATTGAAATAGAAGATATTAAGATGGGTTGAAATAGTAATCATGTTGGGTCATGATCTTCCCAAATTTACTTTACGCTCAAATGGGCTAAAGATCGATTTGGGTCATGAGCCGCGCAATTTGACCTACTTAATCTCAATAACTTTAACATATTATTATTTACGTTTCCTAACCACAATTTGGATTTCAACTCAAGAAAAAAAAAAAGTTAGAAAATTGATAGATAAATCATAGAAGATATAAAATATACAGTAATTCATACCTTTAATATGAGAACATACATTACACCAATTCAAATAAACAATCTTAAAATGGGGTTAAAATTAGAGAGTAAATTTGGCTCAATTGAAGATTCTTTTAAAATGAGTTAAGGCTTGAATGTGTTGTGATTGACCCATTTAAATTATCTTGAGCCCAACCCATTAAATTTTGGGCGGAATACCTATATTTGGGCTCATATTGACACTTATAATACAGTATATTCCATTCTTCAATTTCTCCTTAGTTTTTATTTTGCGCACAGGAATCATTGAATCTGTCCAAAAGTTCTCCCTCGATTTTAGTCGAAGTACCTAAAACAGGTTGACCAGACCAAGTACAGATCCCACACCCACACCGACGTCATGTCAACATGGGTGCGACACCAAAAGTGAAGAGTTCGGGCAACTTAGGTAGGGATGGCAATGTGGCGAGGTGGATGTGGGGCAGATTTAAGGCTATGCAGGGCAGGGAAGGTTTAAGGTTCTGTGAGGCAGGGCGGATGTGGAGCAGGTTTAAGGCTATGCGGGGAGGGGAGGGTTTAAGGTTGTGTGGGGCAGGGAGGGATGTGGGACGGGTTGAAGTGGTTGTTTTAAAAACTAATGTTGGGCAGGGCGGGTTGCGGGTCTATGTGGTTTTATCCAGTTCAAACTTAATTTTAACTTTTTACATGTTATAAGAGTGATAGAGCATTATCTATTAAGATAGTTTATTTACAGTTAATAAAATATTCAACATAGTAAATGAAAATGGTTCAATCAAAACTAATACAATTGCTTACATGCTTTCCATAATTGACTTTTAAAAATTATTTTTTAATTCATTATCTCTTAAATTAATATAACTTAATGAAAATGAATTTATTTTATTAATTTTATTTTTAGTATCAAACTATACTAGTAAAGGAAAAAATTAAAAAAAATGTGGAGCGGGTTGAAAATGTAAAAAATTGTTATGTGGAGCAGAGTGGGGCAGATTAAATTTTTTGCGAGTTAAGTTCAACCCGCTCTGTCCCCAGCCCTCACTGCTCCATTGTCATCCCTAAACTTAGGGTTTATGCTCTTGTGAGTTGTGTTTGATTTCTCAATCTTGGAGCTCATTATAATTAATTGTTTCTATTTCATTTTCCTTCTCTTTCCTCTTTTATTTGCGTTTTATTTATTTATTTATTTATTATTCAGACCTTTATTATATGTGTGCCGGTTTATTCTTAAGAATTATTTTTAAAATATTTAAATATTAAAAATAACGAAAATATAGATCCTTATGTTATATTTATTAGTGTTAATTTGGATTAGAGAGGTGAACCAATTCTTGTCTAAGGGGAGTCGATTGACATATCTTCATTAAAGAAAATTCACAATGTAGGAAAAAATTAGACCAATATATGTAGGCATATATAGAATTCTCGGGATAAGGGTCTGAAAAATACTCCAACTTTGGTCGAATTTACTGTTGCGATACTAAACTTTCATGAGGACCTATTACCTCCCTAGACACGTGCAAATATATATGTTTAAAATACGGTATTAAATAGTCTAGGGAGGTAATAGGTCCTCATGAAAGTTTAGTATCGCAACAGTAAATTCGACCAAAGTTGGAGTATTTTTCAAACCCTTATCCCTAGAATTCTCTTAACACTAAGTGCACATACTTTTTTTTTAATTTGTTGACTTCTTTTGATGAAAATTCTAACTCAACAATTGATTGTGGATCATATTATGTTTTCTATTTGTAGCTTGTTTTCAATGTGATATTTGTTCTTGATATGCTCACCCAAAACTATTTCTACAAGAGTCACAAGATTTGTGGCATACATTCATGCTGCACTAGAACATTAAAAGGAGAATTTGAAGACAATTCTCCCAAAATCATTACTTGCACTTCTGCAACCCAATGTGTTACCTTATAAAGTATTTTTCTGATGAGAAATTAATTAAAGATTTTGTCTACTTATATTCATGTTTGTTTTTGTAACAGAACAACAAGTAAAGTCAATGCCTATTAATTCAAAAAACTAAAAGCCTTTTATCTTACCAACCAAAATTAATTTATTAGTAATTTTATACATACTTTATTCACAGAAATATTTCCTTAATCTCTCTATAGATTAATACATGAATCGTATTCATACCAAATACTTTTGATAGGTTTAAGCATTTTCCTTAATTTTCTCAACAAGATCGCGAACGACATCAATAGTAAGCGGCTTCTGATAATAATAATCAAGGCCAACATCCATGAATGATTTCTCCTCTTCTTCTTTTTTGCGAGAAGTCATTTCCACAATCAAGCTATCAACATGCATATCTCGAAGTTCCTTAGTTGCCTGCATAATATAGAAAATATTTCTAGTAGTTTTGTACTTGAATTACGTCTAAATTAAGATGTTTAAACAAAAATTGAATTACTATTTATAAAAGCATACTTGACGACTGTTCATTACTGGCATATCCAAGTCCATCATAATCATATCAAAGCATGCACAATTGTGATGAGCATGAACCGCTTCTTGATCATTTTTTGCCTCATGAGTTTCCACACCAAATTTTCTTAGAAGTTCTTTGGGGACCATTCGAACTACAATGTCATCATCTATTATAAGAGCTGTAAGTTTTTTCACCACTTTCGTGTTCAGTGAAGAAGACGATTGGAATGATGACATTTTTTCTGAGATAAAAAACTTAAATGTTTTATCTCGATAGTAGTCAAATAAGTTTGTCAGATATATGTATATTATATAGAGAAATTAACAAGTAACAATAATTTCTCATCAGTCACATTTGGCAAAGTACATTTAGAAGAATTACAACTAAGATTTTGGATCACCCTACTAGATATTTTCATTATTTATTTTTGTACTATATGTTAATAAGTTATGTAAAATAGGAAAGAAGCATTTAAGAAGATGCAAAAAGTGTTACTTCTCTTTTGACCGTAAATTTAGACATACTTTTTTTATAAAAAATAAATAAATAAATAAAAATGTTAAAATACAAATAAATCATGCTCAAATACTTTCTTTTTTGACTTTTGAAATTCAAATTATATCATATAAAATTGGACGGGGGGGTATCTCATACCGCGGATTTCATTCTTTTTGGTAAAGAGGCATTTTGAAAGTGAAGTTGAGTTCACACATACTTTGCTAAAACCAACAAAAGGCCAGAATATAGACTCAAAGTAAAAAATGAACCACATTAATGAGAATGGAGAGTATTTGATTCACACATAGCTACAAGTCCAACAGGTCCAACAAGTTCATTGCATTGGTTATAATGTTAACTGCTGCTAAGGCTGCATTAAAGCCAAGGAGACTGGTGGCAGTGTTTGTTGAGGCTGCTTCAACATAGTAATCATCCTACCAGTAGTCTGCTCTATCGGCTATTAAACAAAGTTGGTCGTGCACAACCTTGGCTTCAATCAGGTTAGCTTTTATAGGCAGGCAATTCAGTCAAAAGGTCTCGGATATGAGAATTGAAGAAATCATAAGAAGGTTCTCCTACAACAAGAAAAAGTTATATGTTACCGAAAAATTAAAGACATATGTATAAAGTAAGCGAGTAACATTCTAGAAACTGAAACAGCATTATCATAGGCCATTACATTCTCACATAGTACGACATTTGGATGCCTTAAAACAACATCGATCCTCTAAAAAATAAAGGTAATGAAATGAAGTTAAAGTAGGAATACATTACACCTTCCCCCGTCATACTGCTCTAGAAAAAAATAGGAAAGGCTTCCAACACCATACAATACCTCCCACTAAAAACTTGAAAGCAGAGCCCACCATGTTCTGCACATACACCAAGGCCATAACTCATCCACATGCCCCCATGTTCTTTCTCAGCTTTTGCTCTCTCTGCTCTTTCGCATGTTCAACTTGAAACTGGCTGTGATTATCTGCTTAATATCATCCACAATTCTTCAGCCTTGACCTTTATCCAAGAGTAGTCCCGATATCTGGTCTGGAGAATAATATTGTTGGCTTACACAAGTCCACCACGATAGACACCAGGTCCCAGAAATAGTTAATAAAGTATTAGAGTTAGATGTTGAAAGGTAAAAGACCCGTAGTGTTTTACGTGGAAATCTCTTTGCTCAAGGGAGGAAAAGGCCACGACCTGATGTCTCAAAGTATTTCTCAAGGCTCCACCAACTTCAAGCAACTCGTAATTACAAAATCAAGTAATTACAATGGATTAAACTTTTTAATCCTGTCACCATTGAAACAGCTCAATTACAAGACAATTAAGTAATAACTCTATTGTCCATTATACGAACTAACTCTAGCCGATATAGACTTCAGCACTACACCACAGCTAACACTAGCCACCTAATCAGATCACAATGATAATAGAAGGAACAATGTACTATCCTTTATAACTTAGTAGTAGATTTACAATATAAGAGAACAAGACACAAAACTCAAAAACCAACTAAAGACGCTGCAAAATTTAAAAATGATAAGCCTGATAATGTGAAAGACATGTTTAATGATAAAGAAATCTATTACTTGCGAAACAATCTAATGTCAAACATACTTGGTCAAACACTTCTTTTGCTTGCTCATTTTCCTCTCTAAGCAATTACCTTATATGGGAACAAAAGTCTTCATATTTTTCTCTCTCTGCTCGTCTGCTTGTTCAACTTAATCACATCCACAATGCTTCAGACCTGGCCTTCATCCAAGATTAGTCCAACGAAGAATACTGTAACACCCTAGAAAAATTTTCGAACTAAGACTCGAACTGTTCTTCGTAGTGTGTGAGATTTTACCTAGGAATTAAAAATTTCTTAAGTTTAAAGGTCACTAGATGTAGCACCCTGAGTTCCAAAAATAACTACATTGGAAATAGCAAAATCTGAAATTTTGCAAGTTATGATTAACTTATGAGTTTTGGGTCAACTTCAAACGACCATAACTCTTAGTACATGATGAGTTAGGTGTTCCATAAGATTGTAAACGAAAGGTCTTTCAATTAGCTTTCTAACACCATCGAGTTTGCTAAGTTTCGAGGTCGGATGAGTGAGATTTACCCTTTTGAAGTCAGGTTGTCTAGTTAAGGAAAGTTACCCGAAAATAGTAAGGGGTATTTTGGTCTTTTCCTTACCAAATCAGATTTAATTCATTTTAGTAAGGTTTAAGGGTCTAATCCAATTAGGTTATGTTTCATAATCCTAATATACGCCTAGGGTTTTAGTTGAGAGTTCAAGAAGAGAAAAGAAGAGAAAAGGGGAGAAAAGGGGAGAAAAAAGGAAAGGATCAAGGCGTTCGTCGAGGTTCTTGAGTTTTGTTACGGATTTTTGCCATGGGTTTAATCCCTAAGAGGCATGTACGCTTCCATAGTGTAGGGTTTGTTCACCCACACACCAATCATATTATTTTCAGCGAAATTTCATTCTTGAAGTAGAAAGATTAGAGTTCTTGATGAGTTCTTAAGAAGTGTTCTTGAAGTTCATCTTAAATCTTGTTGTGTTGGGGATTTGATAATTTCTAAAGATGAAAGTGAGTGTTTTGAGGGCTGTATTGAGTATATTAGAGTATACTTATTTTAAGTATTTCATGATGCAGATACAGGAATTCAGGGTCATTAACATGACCTTCGTTGATACCACATGGGGTTCGAGTTAGCTATGGTGAGCCTCCTTGCTTCTAGAGGGCTCCACTATTACTTTCAATTATATTAGTTGTTAAGATGTCGTGGGTCTTGTTCCGACTTCCATCTTTGTCATTTTGAGGTTTTATAGATAGACAGTAGAGTTTCAGAAGTTTGTTTATTTATTTTGTTAAATGTTTTAAAGACTTAAGTTGCCTATTTTGTGGCGAGTTGAATATATATTTTTTATTCAGAGTTTTTCATTTGAGTTAAAGCTTTGTATTTGAGTTTCATGAATATTTATTCAGTTTTTAAGCTTCGTATGCTTGAGTTAGTCTTCCGCTTGTAGTCAGCCAGGATGAGGGTTCACTTGGAGACCAACAATGGTTCTCGAGTGTCGACCACGTCTAGGGTGTAGGCTCGGGTCGCGACAAACTTGGTATCAGAGCATAGAGTTCAAGTGTCCTAGGGTGTTTATGAAGCCATGTCAGTAGGATCTTATTTATTGTTGTGAGGGCCCCACTTCTATAAAATAAAAAAAAGGACTACACACATTTAGGAAAATTTTCCCTTCTTTCATACTCTTAATCATGCAATAGATCTATGTCATAGAGATTTATTCATACTCGTGTGTATCTTAGATCTATTCGACTACCCATCATACTAGAGGTAGTTGAAAAGGAAAGTCGGTCCTTTATCGATAAGTTACTCTTAGCAAAATCTTGAGGAACTCATGAGACTCCAGAGGGGCTTGAGAGAAAACCAGGAGTGAGTTAAGTGTTCAGTTTCAGAGTAATGCACCCATATTCATATGAATCATGCATTTGAGCTAAAAGCAAGTTGTACTCTTTTCCTTAAGCCTTCTTTCAGCTGAGATCCTTTTTAAGAAGTATGTTTAGAGCTAGGGTAAGATTTTCACCCGAAAAGGTAGCATTAGTTACAAGATCATGAGGAGTAGTAGTGAAAGATCCCAGAGTTAGAGGAAAGTATGCAGAGGTTTAGTAATCCTAGAAAGCGATATAGTGATGAGGCAAGCTATATTATTATAGTCATGTACCTAGTAAGTTATTGATGAGGAGCTTTCCTTTATGGGTAGAGTAAGAGTTGCTAGTCAAGATGAGATAGAGTATATATTTCTTAACCAGAATAGAGTTGATGGTGATGTGCCATCGTATTAGAGGAGACTAAATTCATGTGTTGAACAAGAGAGAAGAGTATTTATGAAGTGATAGATATAATCTAGGCTTATGATTTGTTTGAGAAGTTCATGATGTTCAGAAGTTACAGAATTGATTAAGTAATAAAGTATAGTATAGTAGGTGAGCAATCGTAATGATATTCGGGTTTAGTAATAAACATTAAACTTGAATTCGAGGTGAGTGTCATGATCAAAAGAATGGAAACATGAAGGTGATGATGTTAGTCTTAAATTTTATCTAGAAGACTTGAGGAATTAAGATGTTAGTTGGAATAGATATGAGTGGTACAAGTGAGAGACCATAACCTTTAGATAAGAGCAGTGAAGTGTGGCTTAAGTTACAAGAGTAACAAGAGAATTAAGAGGTGTACCGAGAGGGTATGTAATAAGAAGAGGTTAAGAGAAACACCTAATAAAGTGATCTTAGTACCGCTTATAGAGAGTTCGGTAGTTGAGATAAATTTCTCCCGAGTGTTAGAGTAAAAGAGGATGTAGAACAGTTAGAGATGATGGAATAGGTCGATAGCTTTCAAGTGTCAGCTTTATACCTAAGGGGAAGATGACAAGATGAGAAATCAAGTCAAATGTTTGAGAGTAAGATAGTAATAAGTTCCAAAGAGTATGGGAGATATCCTTTCGGAGGTCCTTTTAGTAATGGAGTGATGTTAGAAAGAGGAGGTTGATGTTCTTATCGTGATAGTGATGGTGTGATAATTCCATCTAAGGGCATAAATGAAGAGGAAAAGGAGGATGAGGTTTTACGATGAGAAATATTTAAATGAGAGCCCTTAGTTGGTTCCAAAGGAGTTGGTTAATAGGATTTCATGGAGTTATTAGAGTACTAAGCTTGAATGTGGTGTTGTT